TCAGGGCCCAAGAGAACTAGGACTTGCTCAAACACTCCTCTCAGTTTCTTTTTTCCTTTTTGCTGTATAAAGCTAAATCATCAGAAAATGAGTAGTTTTAAACATTGACTCAGCACTCCCACAGAAATGCCCAAATTGGAAAATAAAGGCATGCCCTTCCCTTTTATGGGGGCTGGGCAGAAGAAACGCACAGTTGAAGAAAGTTTCCGGTTTTTTTTTTTTTTTCTTTTGCAAACCCGAAGTTCACTGTGTGTATCCTCAATGTCTTTTATACAAGTCTCTAGAGGATAAACTCCCCTTGAATCTGTTGTCCAGAAGCAATCTCCCAGATGGATGAAAATGCAGCTTCCTTTTACCCACCGATGATTTCCCTTTAAAGTGTCAGAATCTCCAGGTGAATGCCATCCTTGGCCACAGGCAGGACCTCCCCCAGGTCCGGTTCCCAAGTTCTCTACAAATAACTACTCAGGGAGGCATCCTTGCTCCAGTACCCCCGATAGCGACTGGCAGCCTCCATTCAAACCACAAGCAGATTCCTGCCCCACTGACAGCCATTCCGTTCCCCACTCCGTTCCCTACTCCCAAGGGAAGACCTGCTGGCTACCAGAGAACTGTGCCCCCTACCCTACCAAGGGCCTCTGGAGCAGCATCAACAGCCAGCACTTTGGGGCCCACTGTGGGTAGCAGGCGTCATTCTAAGCACTTAGATATGGCATCTTGGTTACTGTTCCTCCAACCCTCTGGGACAGAGGCCATTATTGCCTTTCTTTATAGATGGGTAAACTGAGGCTCCAAGTGGTTAGGTAACTCACTGGAGGTTCATGACAAGTAAGTGGCGGAGAGGGGCTTTGAACCCTAATGTTCTAACCTCCACACCTACATGATTAACCTTTGCACCAGCCTGGCCCTTCTGTGGGGCTGTCCTTGGAGGTTGAATTTGTAGACAGCTACCCTGTTCTCCTACTTCCCCAGCAAATTCTGGCAGATAGTAAAGGACAGGGAAACCTGGAGTGCTGCAGTGCATGGGGTCACAAAGAGTCGGACACAACTTGGAGACTAAACAACAACACCCTGCTCCCCAGAACCTCAGTAGGACTTCGAAATGGGGCTAAGCTTTCTGTGGCCATTCTCCTGGTGGCACCCCACTGACACCCTGGCAGCTTCCGGTACCAGTCTAACTTTTAACCTTATTTTTAAAAATCACATGCATGATCCATACATTCATATGTGGCAAAATGTTAAATACTTTGACTTTTTTGTTCTCGATACAATTCTTTTTTAACTCTCGATACAAATCTTTTAAGTCAAAAGATGGGTGCTAGACTTCCGGTAAACAGTGCATTTTTGCCCAAAAGCTAATTATTAATGTGAAACAAACAGTAACAATGACAGCAAACAAAACAAACAGAAGAAAACAATTGTGCTAAGGCTCCCAAATGTACAGCATTCAATAAACAGGCCACAGTATACTTGAACCAAATGACCTCTGGTCAGAAGTGAACGGTGTACTGTTTCCCTAACCCCTTGCTAGTTGAGAGTGGTCTACCCATCACCGATTTATTTATGCAGACACATGTATACTTGTGCAAAGCTGCTTAGGGACCAAAAGAAAATACAAGCTGCAACCCATGGGGTCTCAGAGTCTGAGTGACTGAACAACAAGGTGATAATAGCCACCCAGCCCCTCACCGCAGTCTAAGGCCTAAAAGGACGGTGACTGCAAAGCAAGGAGGACTAGGAGAGAAGGGATCCTGGAAACAGGTGTGATCTCTGGCCAGGCCGGCCCAGGGCCTGGTTCTGACCCCTCTTTTCCCGGTTTGTAACAGATTCGGAAAACAGGTGGGTACCCCAGCCAACTCAGGGCCACCCAGAGATGCCATTCTGGAACCTGGCCCCTTGGTAAACCATAGCTTAGGGGCTATACCCAGTTCTTCTGGTCCAGGGAAGACCTGGGTCTCACTCGGCCTTAAGGGGTAGGGTGGCTAACACCTCCAGATTGCTAACAGTCCTCTAGAGTTCAGAGGGAGTGAGGCCCGGGGAGGGTATCAGCTACCGGCACCTGTCCCCCCACCAGCCAGCCTCTTTGGGGGTCGCACTTGCCACCTCTCCTTGAAGCTGGGGTGGAGAGGGGTTAACCCGAGGCAGGTCCTCTGGGAATCCCAGCCAGGCTGATCCGTGCCCCAAAGGCCGCCACGCTGGGGGCAGGACCCCACATGTCCTCCTGGGCTGGACTCTGGCTCCCTGCCGCCCCACCGCGCCCCGTGTCAGTAGCTGGTGGTACTCGAGGGAGACCCCAGGTCAGCCTCTCTCGAGTTCGTGCACAAGGTCTTTTCTCACTGACTCCCAGCTTCGGAGCCGCGAGCTCATGCGCCCACCGCTATGGACTCATGCCCCGTAGGCGGAGCCCAAACACGCCCAGGCCCCTTGCGCCAGGTCCGTGCTGCCTACCTGGTGCCGTCGGAGCCCCGGGAATCGATGCCCGAGCCGTCTGGCGCTAGCCTGGGCTTCGCCGCGTAACCCCTTCGTGGGCGCAGGGAGGGCGCGGGACGAGAGGCGGGTGCGGCCTGGCAGGCGCGGGCGCGGACGCAGGGCGGGCTCCGGCCGCCGAGGCGGGTTATATGGGCGCGGGGAGGGGAGGCGCCGCGGGGAGGGGTGGCCGCCGGCGTTAGCGCCTTCCGCAGCCGGCCGGCGGGAAGGCAGCGCGGGCCGCTCAGCCGTTGGCAGGAGGAGCACGGGGCGACAGGGCCAGGCTGGGGCCAAGGTTGCCATCCGGCGCTCCGCCCCCCCAGCTGGCCGCGTGCGAGTCGGGGTCCCGGGGCGCGCTCCGCCCCGCCTCCTTCCCGCCGCCTTTTGGCGCGCGTCGCCCGTCCCGGCCCCAGTGGGGCCGCCTACCTTGGGTTGGACGCGGTCCGGGCGCCGGGGCCCTGATGCTGCGGAAACGGGACAGTGGCTCTCGGCCGGCTTAGCGGCGCGCGCGTGGGGAGCAGAGGTGCGGACCCCGCGGCCCGACGCCTTCCTGTTCCCGGGACGCCGCATCTTCCGGGTCCCCGTCCTCCGCCCCCACGGGCGCGGGACCCCTCCGCGCCGGGAGCAGAGGATCCACGGGCCAGGGGAAGGGCTGGGCATCTTAGGAGAGCGGCCACCCAGGTCTGCGAAGTGAGCGCACCGGCTGTTGGGGGCGGGGGGTGGGGAGATGAAAGTCGCAACCTCAGGACCCGGGATTAAGTGAAGTCGCTCGCTTCCGGGTGGTACTAGCCGGGCTCCTCCGCCCAGGAGGGCTCTCTACCTACATCGCTCACCCAGCTGAGGTCACAGCCCCGCTCCTGCCCCTGTCCGCATCGTGGATCTACGGGAATACCCTCTGGACCGGACTCTTTCGGCCCAACGGAAGATGTGGCCGCAGGACCCGGGGAGTAATTCCGAACACAAACACTCCCATTTCGAAGCCGGCACATTGCTCCCTCCCACGGCCACCGCCTCGGGCGCCAGGGGCTGGGTTTCGTTCCGCGCTGCGCAGGTATGCGCGGGTGTCCACGGCGACACGTGGGTAGTGCACTGGGAATTGATTTCTACGCGCAGGGACTCGCTTCAGGCCAAGACTTTCCTAGGGCTCCCACACCTGTGGCTCCGTAGACCGGTCGCCCCCGCAGGACAGACGGGATATTTAGGGCGTCCACCTAGTCCAAGGGCCCTGGCTGAAGAAACCGACAGGCTGGCGAGTTTTGAACTCTTCAAGACAGCGGGTACCTGCTGTGTGCTGCCTTCCGGTGCTCAACATTACCTGCCTCAAGGCCACGGGAACCCGCGCGGCAGAGTTGCCCTGGAACTGCGCGCAGCCAGGGCTGGTGCACGGGTCCGCACCTCACCTGGCCCATCTGGCTGACTGCCATACACCTTTACTGATCACCTACTGCTTGCAATGTGCGGGGTGTGGGGGTTGGGGTAGCCAAAGACGAATCACACACAGGGTTTGATCTGGCCGGGGACAAAAACGGCTGGCAACGCCGAGCAGGACGCCTGCACGCATCCCCTACCGGTTTGTTCTGGGAAGCGGGAGGGGGCTTCCCCAGGGCACAGGCCCAGGCCGGATTCGTGCGGGTGCGAGTAGGGCCCGGGCCGGGTCTCCGTTCTCAGGACGCAAGAGCGAGGACGGGTGTCCCGGTCCGCGCGATCTAGAGGCGCCCGCAGGGCCTGGCGGGGTCGCGAGGGCGAAGAGGACCAGGAGTCCCTAGTGGGCAAGAGGACAGGCGCGCGGAGGGCAGCGAGCGAGGCCAGCAGAGCCAGCGTCAACGCAGGAGCTCGCTCCAGTCCGTGCCGTGAGGGCTCTGGTCCCGGCCCGGGTGTTGTTTTCCTCCTCGCGGGTCCGAGGGCAGGTGCACGCGTGTGATGGACAAGCGGGCGCGCAAGATCCAGGAGCTCTCTGCGCGGTGCAAGCGGCCAATTCGTTCTCTTTTGGATCAGAGAAGTTCCTGATCGTGAAGTGAGGGCCTCGCTGGAAGCAGGTTGCCGGACTTAGCCAAAAGACAAATGAAGAAAAACGAATATTTATTCCTACTCTATGTATAGAATATAATATACGTACTATGTACCATATTTCATATTTGTGTGTGTATATGCAAATACATGAATACAAATACACTGATACATAGGACGTCACGTTTTAACTTCAGCCAAGCGGATAGTTTTTAAGCATATGTGTCACGTAGTGTTGGGAACATATTTATCCTGGAAAATGATTCGTTGTTTGTCTAAATTCAGCTGTAGTGCACTTTCTGCATTTTATGTGGCAACCCAACTAGGAGGGGACTTCTCACACGCGAGCACCGGCGGAAATCCCTCGTGGGACGAAACACCTTATCTCCTTTAAAGCGCGGCTGCGCGCGTTGGGCGGGGTAGCGAACTACAAGCCCCACAATGCCGCGCGTCACCCGGGGTCCTGACTGGCTGCGGCGCGCTTCCCGCCCTTCCGTCACTTCCGGCCGCGGAGGGGCGGTTGCGGCTGTCCTGGCCGGCGGGGCTTGGCGGGCCCCCGGGTGCAGCGGCCGCCATGAACTTCTCCGAGGTGTTCAAGCTCTCTAGCCTGCTCTGCAAGTTCTCCCCGGACGGCAAGTACCTGGTGAGCGGCCGCCGGGCCTGGGCCGAGGGCGCGCCTTCCGCGAGGAGGCGCGTGTCTGTACCGGGCGGCGAGGAACCAAAGGGGTGGGGCGTACCTGGGGCCCGGATGGAGGTAGCAGGTGTGGGTCCCGGGCAGGTGACCTGGGCAGTGGTTCCGAGCAGGGTACCTGGACACTTGTTGCGTTCTGGGAACCCGGGAAGCTGCCTGCACCTCGGTTTCCATCTGTTAAAAGCAGGTAAAAGCAACACTGTCTTCACAGACTTGAAGACCCAGTAAACGTGGACTCGTTGTTCAGTCTCTTAGTAGTGTCCGACTCTTTGTGACCCCGTGGGCTGCCCCACGCCAGGCTTCCCTATTCTTCACTATATCCTGGACTTTGCTCAAACTAATGTCCCTTGAATCAGTGATACCATCGAACCATTTTATCCTCTGTCATCAGCTTCTCCTCCTGCTCTGTCTTTCCCAGCTTCAGGGTCTTTTCTAATGAGTTGGCTCTTCGAATCGAGTGGCCAAAGTATTGGAGTTTAAGCTTCAACATCAGTCTTTCCAATGAGTTTTTAGGGTTGATTTCCTTTAGGATTGACTGCCCTGATTTCCTTGCTGTCCAAGGAACTCTCAAGAGTCATTTCCAACACCACAGCTCAAAAGCAGCAATTCTTTGGTGCCCAGCCTTCTTTATGGTCCAACTCTCACATCCCTACACGACTACTGGAAAAACCATAGCTTTGACTGTAAGTTGTTGTTTGTTTGTAACAAAAGGCAGGTATATAGTCCTGTTGGCTATAAAACGGTGCAGTGCTGCAGCTGTTGTCACCTTTTCCAGCTCCCTTCGAGGGTGTCTACCACATGCCAGATGAATGACTTAGGTAACTAGCATTCTGTGCTCAGATAAAGAGAGTGGTCCACACTGCTGGGATCTGAGTTGCTCACTCCATGGGTGGCAGAATGGTTCTCACATCACTGAGCTCTCATACCTGCAATGTAAGTTTTAAAATATACCAGTATGATCAGTGTACATTCTCAAAATCTTGGGGGGAAATGTGGTGGGTGGGTGATAATTGGCATTGGAAAGACATTAAGGAAAAAAAATGCTTTTTAAAAACTGTACTTAGTTTCATTAACTATTAACTATTAAAGATTCCTGCTTTGTCTTTTTAGTTTGAGCGTTGTTAACATTCCATTTATCCTTGAGGATGGATGTATTAATACCTCAAATTACATGTTTACCTTCTTTATGGAGGTTTTATTCTAAATCACATAGTATGGTATTCAGCTACAAAATATAAAATATCTTTAGCTTAAATGGCACCCCAAAAACCTTGGTATACTTTTCGGAATACTCCCCAATAAATTTGTTTTTTGGTCATTTATGAAACTTCCCTGGTGGCTCAGCTGGTGAAGAATCCGCCTGCAATGCGGGAGACCTGGGTTCGATCCCTGAGTTGGGAAGATGCCCTGGAGAAGGGAAAGGCTACCCACTCCAGTATTCTGGCCTGGAGAATTCCCTGGACTGTGTAGCCATGGAATTGTGAAGAGTCTGTACACAACTGAGTGACTTTCACTCACTGACATGAAACTTCCGGTGAATTATGGAGACAAAGATTACATTTCCTCATTTAGTTTTGGTATAGTTTTTACATTCTGATTAGAATTGTGAGCCTTGGTAGTAATGTTACTGGAACCATGTTCTTCAGAGCTCTATCCTAAGTGCTGAGAAAAGTAGGGCCATGTTGCCATTTTTAACATCTTGCAACAGATTTGATACAGTTTTTCCAAGTGTTGGTACAGACTTTTCATTTCTCCAGGAGTTTGTGGTAACTGATCACAGCTTTTAAAGCTACAAAGTGAAAAAATAAGCAAGGACACATATTTGTTCTAATTAGCAGTCCATCTCCCACTCTTTTTTTTTCCCAGGTGGAGCTGATTGGCTTTTTAAAAATGAAAGTTCATAAAACAAAAATTTAACAATCCAGTTTGACTTTGATAAGTACCAACAGGAGGCAGTTAACATTCAGAAGTCAGTTCTTGATTTTTGAATGGTGATGTGCACCCTCTGGTTAACAGATAAGTATGATGAGTCATAGAAGTCATTTGCTTGGATTTGGATATTGTTAACAAATATGGACATAAAGTAACTGTATCTTTAAGAACACTGTATTGAGTTAAATGTTTCCAGACTCAGGGTTAATGGTTAATGGGTATAGAAGAAACCCCCCAGCCCTCCCTCCCTCAGTCCCTTTTCCTCTCAGACGGCTGCCATACTCAGTGCTTCTGAAACGTCTGGTCACCTACTGTGTGGGGTTTTCCCCACACTAAGCAGTTCTCCCCAACACCAGCTGGGTGTCCTACAGTTTGACTCCGTTTTGACACTGTCCACCTGGAGAGAGCCCAGAGCCCACAGGTGAAGGGCTCAGCCCCACAAGACTGCCCCCCCCCACCTTTCAGACTGCAATTGAATGTCCAGGTTGTCACCTTTGCTCCTGATCAACTTGATGTAGGCTCCATGACCACCTCTTTAGGTTCCATTAATTTGCTGGAGTGACTCATAGCGCTCAAAAAAACAGATTTACCATATTATTAAGGGGTGTGATGAAGGAACAGGTGAGCAGGCACTTGAAGAGATCAAGAGGGCGAGATCTCGGGGTCTCGAGTGCAGGAGTTCTGTCCCCGTGGAGCTGGTGAAGGATCTGTCTGCAATGTGGGAGATCTGAGTTCGATCCCTGGGTTGGTAAGATCCCCTGGATAAGGGAAATGCTACCCACTCCAGTATTCTGACCTGTAGAATTCCATGGGCTGTATAGTCCATGGGGTCACAAGGAGTCAGACACAACTGAGTGACTTTCACTCACTCACCCTCCCAGGATGTCGGTTTCCTTGCCCACCTGGAAGCTCTGGACCCTGCATCTTTGGGATTTTTTGGAGGCTTCACCACATAGACCTGGGTGATCGTTCACTCCATTTTGAGCCCTTTTTGCTGAAGAGAAGAGGAGAGCAGGGCTGAGAATTCCAAGCCTCTAATTTTGACTTGGTCTCTCCAGTGACAGTCCCCCCAGGAGCCCACCCAGAGTTGCCTCAGTAAAATAAGAGATGCTCCCCCGCCCCCCCCGCCCCAGGACTTTCCAAGGGTTTCATCAGGAGCCTGTGTCAGGACCTGTGGGCAGACACCAGTGTGTATTAGCTGTTTTCTCATCACAGGTAGATGGACATTTATGACGTGTCCTTACATTTGCAGAATTTCAGACCTGTATATTGACTTTCTGTTGGTTTGGGTCCAGGTTAGACACTGAACCAAAGGGAGCTCTGCTCCTGGGTCGATCTCACCGGCAGCCTGGAGCCCCCTTCTCGCATCTCACACACAGCTTATTTGCAGGTGGTAGAACCAGAGGGGAGCTGGTGGTTCTCAGAGGGCCTTTTCCCAGTGCCGTGTCCTGCTTTAGCATTTGTCACGCAGTGAAGACAGGTGCAGAAATGATGCCGGTAGAGTTCTGCAGTAATACTTCCTCCTGGGGCTTAACAGCTGGGCACCTGGTTTTACGTTTACGCTTCATCTTTCTGCTAACTCATCTTTGTTCAGAGTAGGCTTTCCACATGGTAAACACAAGACCATCTAGACAGAAAGCGTGTGTGCAGGGGGAGGAGGCAACCGTCCTGACTGGAGGGCACGCTGCAGTCCCAGGAGCGCCCTCCTCCGGAGCCCACCCCCACGGCCTCTTCTCTCCCCCTCTAGGCTTCCTGTGTCCAGTACCGATTGGTGGTCAGGGATGCGAGCACCCTGCAGATCCTCCAGCTATACACGTGCCTGGACCAGATCCAGCACCTCGAGTGGTCGGCTGACTCGCTCTTCATTCTGTGTGCCCTGTACAAGCGGGGGCTCGTGCAGGTACCTCCGGATGGGTTGCCCCCCTCCCCCCAAGCACAGCTGCCACCCAGGGCCTTGTTCCGTGCCCTTCTGGTATGGAGGAAGGGGCTGCACAGGTCAAAGCCCGTTTTCTTATAACGTTATAATAGTGTTCTAATAGTTTAAGTACTTTTAAAAACAAGAAAGCATGTAAATGTCCTTGATCTGTAACCTAGTTCATTCTGTAACAGGAAGTGTTCAGCAAGCAGCCCAACTGGTTCCTGTGTTTAGGGAGTGCTGAGATGTGTCTTGTTATAGACCTCAGACTTAACTAAGTGAGGTCTCAGACAGCAAAGGGAATAAACCCTTCAAACCACAACAGAGTGACATCACTGAGAAGGGTGGTGCAACCCAGGACCTGTCCTTCACCCTGAAGGATTCTGAGAGTTTGCCCATCTTTGCCTCCACGCAGCTCATGGCCAGTTGTTCTTAAGCCTGAGTAGCAAATGGGTTCATCTCTTTTGTGAGTCCAGGTGTGGTCCTTGGAGCAGCCAGAGTGGCACTGCAAGATAGACGAGGGCTCGGCGGGGCTGGTGGCCTCCTGCTGGGGTCCCGACGGGCGCCACATCCTCAACACGACGGAGTTCCATGTGAGTGGGCACCCCAAATACCTGCCTCAGCCGCCCGACAGTCACCCCTCACCCCATGTCCTGATCACTTGGGAGGATTGGAGTGAATGGTCTAGCGGGGAGGATATATGTCATAAATGGTTAGAGCATTATAAGCCCATGAGTGTTGTTATGTAATCTTTTTGTCCAGTTTTAATGAAAAGTTTTTAAAAAGAACATCTCAAATTGTATCTTTACGGATTTAGACAGGTCCTTTGATTCAACAATAGAAAAGAACTTCAGTGATGCAAAGAGCTGACTCATTGGAAAAGACCTTGACTCTGGGAAAGATTGAGGGCAAGAGGAGAAGGGAGTGACAGAGGATGAGATGATTGGATGGCATCACTGAGTCAATGGACATGAGTTTGAGCAAACTCAGGGATATAGTGAGCGACAGGGAAGCCTGGTGTGCTGCAGACTGTGGGGTCGCAGAGTCAGACACGAATTTACCTCTTTCCCTGGAGACATCTGATCTGTGTGTCTGTAACCTCCTCATTGATTTGCTCTTCAAGCCTTGGTCTCCCTTGAGATGCAGGACCCTGGGCAGGAGCTCTAAGTGAGAAGAAGAATCTTTGAAGTCCAACCGTAAATCAGAGACAGCTTGGGTGGTGTGCATATGCCTCCCTAACACATCACGTCAGGGGACTACAGGGGGCTCGGGTGCACTGGTCCTTCACTGTCACAGCTTCTTCCAGCCCTGGCGTGTGATGTGCCTGCAGTGGGTCCCCCAGAAATCCTCTGCAGAGCCTCCACTCGGACAGTCGGGCCACTCCCTGTCCCTGCTGACCCCAGGCCCAGCCACCTGGCGAGGCAGAGCCACTCACCCCCTTCACTGCTTCAAGAGACTGGGGGGCATCTTGTGTGGCTTTCTCTCCTAGATGTGTTTCTCTAAGAAACACTTTTAGGTTCACTACTATATGAAAACTTTGACTGTAACAGCCCCCAGCCTGTTATCCCAGGGCATGCCCTCTTGGACCCCTGGAGGCTGAATCCCCCAGAAATACTGGACCCTCTGTGGGCTGCTGTGCCTGCAGTAAAGCTTAATTTATCAGGCAGAAAGGGGTGCTGACTGTACTTGGAACTAAAATGCACTTATATTTAATTTTGTGTCACTCAGATAGTATTGTCACAAAATGAAAACTAAACACCAAGACCATTAAATTTAACAATTGTGGGAGTTCTCTGGTGGTCCAGTGGTTAGGACTCAGCACTCTCACCTCCGTGTCCTGGGTTTGATCCCTGGTTGGGAAACAAAGATCCTGTAAGCCACGTAGCACCACCAAAAAAAAAAAAAAAAGCAATTGTAGATGTGAGTTTGACACACTTCTTCACACAGAAAACACCCCAAGACTCCTGATACTTTTACTTCAGTAAATCTCTTGTTTAGGTGCAGGCAATCTGGCTTATGACTCGCAACAGTCTTTCCGAGAATGCTAAGTTATGCTGTTTCCTTTCTCTTCCTCCCCCTTCCTTGGCAGCTGCGGATAACTGTCTGGTCTTTGTGCACAAAGTCCGTGTCCTACATCAAATACCCTAAGGCTTGTCAGCAGGGTGAGTTGTCAGAGCTACTCAGAGGCCATTTCTCTGTAGTTGTTTGGGGGTTTGGAGACCTTTTTATCCTGGAAAATTTCAAACACAGACAAAAGTAGCCTTAACTGTATTTCAGCTCATAGCCAATCTTTCTTCTCTATACCCACCCCTCCCCCTGATTATTTTAAAGTACATCCCAGATCTCCTAGTACTTCCCTGTAAGCCTTCCCCCACCTGTGTCTCCAGAAGACCAGGGCTTCCCTGTTCTGTGATCACAATGACTAAAGAGAATGTCGTTTAACAGATATCAAAGAAGGGTTTACATGCAAATCCTGTACGTCTGTCACAGAGCTGGGTGTCAGATCCTTTCTTGTTCGTGTCAGTCCTGGGACCCCACCCCACACAGCGGATTTTGAACTGAATCCTCTGTTGACTTAACTCTGAGCTCTGTAGAGGGGAACAGTGACCTATCCCATCCCTACATCTCAGAGGAGGGGCAAAGGGCGTGTGTCCACTGTGCCCTCAGGAAACCCCCCACATGCGTTTAACTGAACCCGAGAGCTCGTCGACAGCCCCCTCCCGAATCATGAAATTACTTGATTGTCTTCTAGTTAATAAACAGAAGGAAGCATCACATGATTTGAGAGGTTTTTCTGTTCTTTCTCTTGCCATCAGCGGCTTGAAGCTCACATGTGAATGAAATGCAATTGTTCGTTTATTTTTTGTTTTCATAGTTTGCATGTTAGTGTCTCTCCAGATGACATGCATGCTTCTTGGTGAAACAGCAGCTCTGTCACTTAGGTGTTCTCTGGAGGTGTGAAGTGTGACAGAGGACTCAGTTCATCGATGTGGACCTGGAAGGGACAGTCTGACGTTTCAGCCAGCTTCTCACCTTAAATTGACTTCTTCCAAATTTAAATTCAAAAGTGAAAATAGGAGCTGTGGTGACGAGCCTGCGTTGACCCAGCTGAGCTTCTTGCAGTTGATTTCCTAAGAATGTAGCATCCTGTAGGGCTCCACACTTCCCAGGAACATTCACGGGCTCATCAGGGCTCAGGGCGCACTGTGTGTCTCGCAGGTTCTCTGTACGTCAGAAGCCTGATCGAGGGTGTGGGGACCCTGCCTCATGTGCCCACACTCTGCCGCCGACTCGGGGTCTGTGTGCTGCGTCCCCTCTTCAGATCTCTGCCTTCTCTCTCTCCTTCTAACATGAAAACCACTGCTTCTTGATCCCAGGACCTTTCCCTCTTCTTGGCAGGAATAACCTTCACCAGGGACGGCCGCTACCTGGCGCTGGCAGAGAGGCGGGACTGCAGGGACTATGTGAGCATCTTCGTCTGCAGTGACTGGCAGCTGCTGCGGGTGAGGCGTACACCCGGGAGCGTGACCCTGGGGCGGGGTGGGGGCAGAGGTATGTTCTCAAAGGTCCCAGAGGCTCTCCCAGGCGGTGTGAGAAAGACAGCTCCATGTTTTCAAAGGTGGGTGCTGCCTGTTACCCCATGGCATGCACACAGGCAGGTGTTCACAGGCTCCGGTGAGACTGCGTGGGCTCTCAGGGTGTTAGCAGTTAACAGTCCCCCAGATGGGAGCCTCCAGGCTTCTTGTTGGCTCAGTGGTGTTAGCGTCCGTGTGCCCACATGAGGGGGAGGAGTGAGCTGCAGGTTACTGACCGCATGCCTGGATGGGCAGGAGGCTGCCAGGCCAGACCCCCGGGGCTGGGCTGGATCTCGGATGCTATCGGCTGGCGGCCTCCTTGACCAGGGCAGCGATGTCCTGGGAAGGCCTCCCCTGAGCTGATCTTAAAGGTGTGAGACTCAGCCGCACGGAGGCCTGAGCCACATCGCGGCTGCATGTTGCCTGGCCTGTCATGGCAGGAGGACACAGTTATAGGTGTTTCTGCCCATGGCGAGACAAGGAGATTAAATACTGTGTTAATGCATCAGGTATGAGATAGATGTTTGTGTACTTGTTGAAGAAAACATTCTCAATGTCTTCTGTTCCCCCCACCCGCCTGGGAAGCACTTTGACACGGACACTCAGGACCTGGCAGGGATCGAGTGGGCCCCCAACGGCTGCGTGCTGGCCGTCTGGGACTCCTGCCTGGAGGTAGGGAACCCGCTCAGGACACACTCTCTGCTTGTAGCACTGTTGTCTGTGTTTCTCACGCTCTCTGAACGCCTCACGAGTGAACTCTGCCTTTTTCAGATGTTGAGCTGAGGAGCTTTCATGACAAGTCTTTAGATTTAAGACCCAGCTTCCCCTTTCCCACAGCATTCTCTCTGCTTCTCCAGTACCGTCCCCGTCTCCACTTCCCACCACCGCGGAGGAGGGCAGGGTCCCCGCCCAAGTCTCACTCCCCTGGGGTGGCCGCCTCGCACGCCACAGGTTCAGTAATGCCTTCACTGTCTCTGCAGTACAAGGTCCTGCTCTACTCCCTGGATGGCCGGCTGCTGTCCGCCTTCTGTGCTTACGAGTGGTCCCTGGGCATCAAGGCCGTGGCCTGGAGCCCCAGCAGTCAGTTCCTGGCGATCGGGAGCTACGATGGAAAGGTGGGAGGGGGCCTGTGGGGCAAAGCCCACACACAGCCAGTGCCCCGGAGGCTCTGACCACGTGGTTCTCTCCAGGTGCGGATTCTTAACCACGTGACTTGGAAAATGATCACGGAGTTTGGGCATCCTGCAACTGTTAATAATCCTAAAATAGTAAGTCTGGAAGAGTGTTTGAGGAAGGGATAGAAAGCTGCTCTTTCACTTTACACTATCAGTGTAAGTGATACAGGGGCTCACATCCCTATGATCTTCTGATGCTGAAACGTTCCAAGTGCAGACGTTCCCTTGGACCTTGTTTTTCCTGCCATGTTCCCAAAGGGTCCCACGTGTCCTTCCCAGCCTCCTCCACCCCCACGACTCTGGGACCAGCTCCTGCTCTGCGCTGTGACCAGGGTCCCCTGCCTGCAGGCACCACGCACCTGCTGGGCCAGGCGCTGTGCTCTGGGCCAGTCCGAGATGAGCAGGCGACTTCTTCCCTGTGGAGCCTTCCCGGGGAGGGGAGGAAGGCTGCCTGCCAAGGAGCCCTGAGGCAGATCTTGGGAGGAGGTGGTACAGGGTCTGGGGAAGAGCGATTCAGGCAGTGTGAAGAGAACAGCAGTGCAGAGGCCCTGAGGAGGGATCAAGCTCTGTTTATTCGGCAGGCCCCTGACAGGGTGCGGAAGACCGTAGGGACCCAGACAGACAGCCTTTCTCGGGATGGGGACAGTGGGAATGAGGGCAGACACCCTGGCCTCAGGGCGGGGATGGCAGGGGCGGGGGCAGACACTCTGGTGAGTTGCCTGCAGGTGAGCTACCCAAGTAAGACAGGTGTGGGGTGAGGAGGAAGCAGTGGGTGGGCCACTGTACAGCCCTGGGGTCTGAGTGGGTTTCTGGGGAGCTTGTGAGTGGGCGGACATCCTGGCAAGGGCAGTGACTGGAGGACCCACTGGAGGTGCAGGAGTGGGACTGACCTGAGGCCTCACAGGGTTCGCCTTGGGTCCATCACCGCACGGCCGTTCGCCCTTCCCATCTGGCCTCTGGTGACACGTGCCCCCACCCTGGCCCATCTGTCACCTGTCTCCACTGAAATGCCGGCTGCAGGCGAGACCTCGTGGAGATGGTCCAGGAGGACACAGTGAGGGACCACAGCCACATGTGCTGCCTGGGCCGTCTCTCTTCCAGGTGGTGTACAAGGAGGCTGAGAAGAGCCCGCCACTGGGCCACCTGGCCTTCCCTCCGCCCCGAGCAGTGGCTGGGCCCCTGACGTCCTCGGAAAGCAAATGTGAGCGACTTGGCCGGTGGTGCTGCCCTTGTCTTCCTCCCTTTCCTTTCCTTTCGTTATGAGAAAAAGCCCTCTCGGTCCAGGACTCCAGATACTCCCTTTTCCCTTTCAATCCTTTCCCTCTCTGGCGATACCTGGTGGACAGCGTCCTCAGCCAAGAGCCAGCAGGCTGCCTGGGTTCTGGCTCCGTGGATTGAATACATGCCCTGGGACTCTTGATTGTCGGCTGGTCTTGAGAGCAACTTTTTTTTAATGAACGCTGACCTTTCCTTGGGTGAGCGGGAGGCCATCAGAGGACTCAGGGAGGAGCTGCAGCTGCATCTGGGGTGCAGAGGTCACTCGTGGTTCGGTTTCATCATCCATAAAATGGGAGAAATTGGGCCAACCACCAGGCCCTGCGGTGTTGCCTGGCCTGTCACAGCTCTGGAACCACGGCCTTGCAGGGGAGGGCAGGCCAGGTGCCCGCACAGCCCTGCCTTCTCTCAGATCCTGCCTGCCCCTGCTATCACGTGTCTTCTTCGCCCCGCGGGTAGTTATGGTCATTTCCTCTCCCATTGCGGGCCGCACTGCAGATCCAGGCTGCTCGCCCACGGGGAGGCTCAGGGCGCTCTCTCTCCCTGCCCAGACGAGATTGCCTCGATGCCGGTCTCCTTACAGACCCTAAAGCCAGCTGCTGACAGAGCCAACCCCAGGATCGGCGTCGGGGCGCTGGCCTTCAGTCCTGACAACTACTTCCTGGCCACAAGGAACGGTCAGTGGCCTGTCCCAGGCCTCTGTGCCCTCTGCTCTTTGTTTGGGAAAGAGCAGGGCTCCAGGCCCACAGGACATGCCCCCCCCCCTTCCCTGCCCCGCGCCGTGACCCTGGGGAAGGTGGGCATCTTCACTGGTGAAGGGCTGCGGGCTGGAGCAGAGCAGCGAGGGGTGAACGTGAGCCTGAGTGCCCCTTCCTCCTCAAAGACAGCATCCCCAATGCCGTGTGGATCTGGGACATCCGGAAGCTGAGACTGCTGGCGGTGCTGGAGCAGCTGTGCGCTGTGCGCGCCTTCCAGTGGGGCCCACAGCAGCCCCGGCTGGCCATCTGCACAGGGGGCAGCAAGGTGTACCTGTGGTCGCCGGCAGGCTGCGTGTCGGTGCAGGTGCCCGGGGAAGGTGAGCGTGGGCGGGGACACAAGCAGATGCTCTGGGGAGGCACCTGCCCATGAACCTCGGGGCCCACCTGCTGAACTTTGGGACTCCAGCTGGGTCACCCTGGGACGCGGGTCTCCCCTAACCCCTGGCCACCTGTCTTTTCCAGGTGACTTCCAGGTGCTTTCCCTGTGCTGGCATCCGAGTGGGGACTCTCTAGCCCTCCTTAGCAAGGACCACTTCTGCCTGTGCTTCCTGGAGATGGAGGAGGGGGTGCATACGGCCTTCGGGCAGCGGGGCGACTGCACGTAGGACCCAGGCATGGTCAGGCCCAGGTGGCACACATTGGCCACGGGACAGGAGCAGAGCGTCTTGGGCAAGTTTTCCTTCCAGGGCCCAGAGGAAAGGATTTGCTTTCATTTTGCTATAGCAAGGTGTTTTTGTAAATATGTATGGAATAAACTAATTTTTGTTATTTAAAATAAATATTTGTTCATTTATAAAATGGCTAATGCTTACTTTCTTAAAAGGTTTAAGTCACAGGAAAGTCTTCCAGATCAGTTTTAAGTTTGGGGTTCACTTGTCTTAGGGGAAGTAACTGCACCCCAAGTGGCCAGTCCCCCACCCCACCGTTGACACAGGACCCATTCTGCACGGAGCCTCTGTTCTGTCCCTGAACACTCTGAAGCAGGGCCTGTGTGTCACATGGGCCTGTGCTGGGGCAGAATTGGAGGCCAGGGCTGTGGGTCCCAGGGCAGCTCAGTTAAGGTCAGGTCTCTGCAGGGAGTGTCCACCTGGAATGATCCAGGTGCTTCAGGTGGTCGGCCAGGGCTGAGGACACTGGAGGAATAAGGGTTCTTCACCCTGGGCAGAGGCTGGACGGTGGGCACCACCCTTGTGGCTGGGAAGGGAGTAGGCTGTGCAAATCCCCACGGTGCACATGGCTGGGGTCAAATCCAGTGCAGAGAACATCTCGGCTCTAAGATGGTCTCACCAAATTAAGACCCTTTCTTGGTTGTTGCGCCTATTTTAAAACAGGAACGACACTCACTGAATCCTAAGCATCTTTACTAGAAGACCAAAAGCAAAAGCTCAAGACCCAGGCAGAGTCTTAAGGAAGCCTTTCAATGTGGACAGGCCCCTGCATCAGGATCACTACATCCATGCTGACTACAGCTCTGCCAGCCTGGGCAGTAAGAAGGAAGGAACCTGGGAGCCAGCAGGCAGACTGCTGTGGATGGGCAGGGGTGGTGAGCGATGACTGCCCATGGCCTGGGGTCTGCACAGAGCAGTAGGAACTGAGGTGGGGCGGGCTGCTTCAAGAGACTTTAATGTGGTTCCTTTCTGAAAGTGCTTCCTTAAAGGCAAATTAAGGATTTCTTTTTAAAATATGCCATGACAGGACAAACCTAACAGAGATGTCAACATCGTGTGCAAAGAACTTACCAATGTGACTTTCTCAAACGAATGACTTGTCTTAAAATGATCTTCTGGGAAGCTTTTTGAGTGGGCCTGAGAAAGACGTCATCAGTATTATTCACACACTATAGATAAATTTTAGGAGAAGTGTGACTTTAGGTCAAGCACGCATTTCCACAAAAGCAACAGTCCATTTAGGAGGTGACAAGGCAGGCCAACTTTCGCTGAGCTGGTGGTCTGCTGGCTTCTTCCATATTAACTTTAAGAAGATAGATTAAATCTCAAAATGCAAAACTGGACACCAACTGTACCCAGACTTGGAACCACGGGCGCTGGGTCCCAGGCACATCCCCGGATGGAGCAAACTACGCGGCTAATCACGCGACGTTTATTGTTAACATGCTCCAGGGCGTGTGGGGAGGGACCACAGGGAGGCGAATGGAGACACAGGGGACTCAGAGACTGAGATCCTGGCCAGGATGCTGACAGGTTCCCTCTGCTGTGTCTGGAGCTCACGTGATCATCTGTTCAGTATCCAGCTACAGTATTCGGTCCACCTGACTGCACTCGTGGTGCCCAGGTCCCTGAAGGTAGGGGGCATGGACCCTGCCAGCAGAAGTGGACCTGGACCAAGGTCTGTCACTCCCAGAGTCCTGCTGGCCGCCTCTCCTGGCAAGAGCCCCACGTGCAGCATCTAGAAGCCGATCTTGCCTCTAGTCATGGAGTAGCCCAGCTTGGCCTCATTGTTGATGAAGGACATGAGCCCCACATAGGTCTCAATGAGGAGTGGACACTCCAGGACCAGCACACCGCCTTCCTGGCCTGGCAGAGGACTTTCCTTCTGGGCTTTCTTGACAGCTTGGATTAACAGAGCCTTGAAACCATCCAACTGCAAAGAGAGAAAACACGGAGCCTGAGCAGACGATCTGCACGAGGTCCGCCACTGCTGGACAAGAGGCCTTCCCAGCCACACCCAGTGGCCCATGGGCTCACCTCCTGGGTGTGGCTCTCACCTCCGCCCTCACCCATAACGGACAACAGCTAGTCCTCACAGACCTCCCTCTTCCGCTCGAAGGAGTTTTGCCACGGTGACCCAGCGGATGCTCCCCACCACCCACCAGGCAAGCAGCAAGCTAAGGCACATGGCTGGAAGTGGGGGGCCTGTCCCCAGTCCCGGCCCCCGTGCCCATCACCCCCAGGTCTCCTCTCCTGCTGAGCGTGCAGCCTGCCCAGCTCTAGCAGGGGTGGGGGTTAGCTGCCCCACCCCAAAGCTCTTCTGGGCCCTTCTCCAAAATGACCACAGCCACCGGGGCCACATCGCAGCACCACACTGATCAGTACCCACTTACCACACAGGGCTATCTAAACATAATTAAAGTTTTTAAAAAATTAAAAGTTTATTTTCTCAGTTTAGCCGCCATTCAAGTGCTCGGCAGCCCCACGTGGCCACCATACTGAGCAGTGCAGGCCTGGAAGGTGCTTATCCCCGCTGGGCAGCGCTGCTGCCGCTGTCCATGCCCTTACTTGGCACAGAGAGGCTGTCTTCTCGTCCACACCAGCCATCGGGTGTTCTATGAATGTGGTGTACGGCACGCTAGTGGACCACGGGTTCCATCTGCTGATGAAGGACGGGCGGCTCTGCTTGTCCCACTGGATGCGAATCCCAAAGCCTTCTCGCCTGCAGGGTCAGAAGACAGGGACCAGACTTCACAGGCAGGCCTGCACCCCAGAGCACCTGCCTGGTGCCAGGTGTGGGAACAAAAAGCGGTCTCACTGCTGAAGGCGAGGCTGATGATGGCCATTTCACATGAGTCAAGGACAAGAACAGCATGTCTAATACTGACAGCTCTCAGCACTTTAAGACAGGACAAACTGAGTGCACTTAGTTAAGCTAATCTTTACACGATTAATAAATTTAACATATAGTGCTCTAACTAAATAACGCTTTTCCAACTCCAAATCCTTTTTTACAGAATATTTTATTGTTGTTTAGAATTTTGAACTTCCTGAATTTCCTACCCAAATCTCTCCATCAAAACCCTAAAATTTACCATTTAATTCAACTGAGTATACTCATGTCTAGGTTTCTCGTATTTCAGAAAGCTCCCTAACAGAGATGAAGATCAGCTCTTGAAAGTTGGCCATTAAACCTTTCCAAATTTAATCTTCAATAATATCTGTAAATCAAAGCAATGTGCTACCTTTTTCTTTTAAAAATTAACTACAACAGGGCTCGACATGACAGCTGCCAATCCTTTCTTGGCAGGGATAAAGTGCTGAGTTCACTCTTCTCTGAAGAATACCTGTGTCAGGCCTATGTTAATGTACCCTGAATTCATTTACTACAAGCCTAACAGCTGTCCCTTGTGCCAGAATCCCCTTTAATGCACCCTGCTGGGCAGAAGTCACCCGTGTCTATTCTAAACTCTACTGATATTAAAGCAAGACGTCCACTGGGGGCTGGTTTCGGAAGGGCTGTTGAGGAGGCCCTGGAGCGGGGCTCTCTGTTGAACAGACTTACTTGTTGAGCGATTTCGGGGGAAACTGGAATTCTCCGTAGGAGATGGTGTCCACCGCGTTTAAGGCCACCCTGACCACCTGCTGGCACTGCAGGCTGATGAAGTCGTATTTGCAGATGAGGAGCGCCTGGTCGGTGATGAGTACCAGTCGCTCCTTTTCGTTGTTCCAGTGATCAATCTCGGTCAGCAGCCACATCCCCTGGATGTCTCCGTCCTCCACCGGCCGGACCACTACGCGGATCTCCTCCACCGCCTGCTTGATGGTGCCGGGCCGGAACACGAAATACTCCTTGACGCGGGCGCGGCGTGTGGGGTCGTGGACGCTGAGCGGCCACAGCGTCTGCCGCAGCGGCGTGCCCGCCCGCGGACGCCCCCCGCCACCGCCGCCACTACTCGGCCCGACCTCCTCGCCGGCCGCCAGCAGCGCTGTCTCCGTCCTCCACCGGCCGGACCACTACGCGGTCTCCCGCCCCCGCCCCCACCCCCAGCCTCACCCGGAACACGAAATACTCCTTGACGCGGGCGCGGCGCGTGGGGTCGTGGACGCTGAGCGGCCACAGCGTCTGCCGCAGCGGCGTGCCCGCCCCCGGACGCCCCCCGCCACCGCCGCCACTACTCGGCCCGACCTCCTCGCCGGCCGCCAGCAGCGCTGTGGGGCTCGTGCCCGCCGAGTCCACCGAGTCCCGCAGCTGCAGCATGACCGCGCCCGCAGCCGAGCGACCCCGGACCGGACCCCACAAGGCCGCAGTAGCAGCAGCCACCGCCGCCCCCACCTCCGCCGGACCCTCGGCCCCGCCCCAGGGCCCGCCCAGCACCGGCGGCCCGCCGCGATTGGCTCCGTCTCGCCAGTCCCGCCTCAGTCTCTAGTCCCCTCCCGCCCGCTCCGGCCCTGACGATTGGCTCGTTCCTAGGTGTCTTCCACGATTGGTCCTGCCCGCCGCCGTTCACAATCGCTCCCGCCCCTTATTGCGCCGGAAGCGCACGCCGCGCGCACGCCCACTTCCTGTTTACGCGTCCGGGGAAGGGCGGGACCTAGGCCGGTTGCCAAGGCGACGCGGAGGGCCGGGGAGGAGAGGGTAGTCAGGTGCCTAACGCACCCCTAACGCATCTCTATTCATGATCGGCTGAAGTGCAGCGGACCTCCGGGGAGGGACTCCGGTCCCTGCCCAGAGTGACCGCCCCCTGGACGCGCCCCCCGCTAGAGCTGACAACTCTGGACGCGCCTCACGCCCTGGACGATCGCCCCCTGGATGCGGACCCTTGATGGGGGAGACCACTTCCCTGGTCACACCTCCTGCCCTGGACGACCGCCGCCTGGACGCGACTGCCCCCGGAGTGACCATCCCCTGGATTAGCTCTGCCCCTCCCAGGGGTCCGCATTGCACAGCAGGGGGAGCGCGGGCTTCGGGGACTGGAGGAGAGGAGGCCGGCGGAGCAGAGCCCCTTCCTGAGCGCCTCCGCCTTTCTGACCGCGGGTTCAGGGGTGGAGCAGCGCGGACATGGCCCCCAGCGCTGTATTAAATGCAGACGTGCTCCCCGCGGCCTGGGAAGCAGAGCTCCGGCCCTGCACCACGGAAGGGGACACGGTGGAGGAACCGGGCGTTGTCACTCCACTGAGGGCCGAACCAGGGTTCTTTGCTGCCGCTCTGCGCTTGTTAGACGTGTTCTTGCCCTGAGTGATCTTGCCTGCGGCTAGCGGTACCCTGGGCATCCGCAGTCCCTGCCGGGTACCTCAGCTCCCTGGTCTTGGCGCCTACAGGCTCCAAGGCAACCTCATCTCCGTCCACCTTGCCCCGTTGTCTTGGAAACCTAAGGGCTGCAGCCGCGACAGTTTACAGCTGCTCCCAAATGTCAGCACCTGTGATACTGACCTGATTGGTCACTTTGTCCTTCCACTGCCTGTAGTCACACCTCCAGCTACTCCCCCCACCCCAAAAGGCTTGCCTCAATCCTACTGTGTCCATCCTCTGATATTGGGATTTAGCACCCCCTCCCCAGGAGACACTGCCATTAACTATACTCACTGCTAGTTCTTTGCTGTGTCATACAGTCACCTACTGTGTGTGTGTCCTGTGTATAATTCACTTGCGTTTGTTAGGTAATCCTTTGTGTGTGTGTATATGTGTATGTGTGCTCACGCGCATACCCTATTAGGAAATTTCAAGAAACCAACCCTTGGCATATGACTGCGCTTTGGGGTTTATAACCCCCAAATTCACAATCCTTTGAATTTCATAAGAGCCCAGGGAGATAACCCCTCTCTTGTACATGTGCTGCAGTTGGAGAAACAGGCCTGGAGAATGCTGCTCAGGTGCCTGGGGCCACATAGTTGGCATAGCCGGGCTGGTCAGCCATGGCCCTCCTGGCTCTGCAGACTCAGATGCGCTCCTGGGCTGTGAATGATTCCAGGGTGGCTGGCCTTCCTTCCCAGGGCATCTCTCGAGGTTAACGAGGGGTCACCGAGCCGAGCACGTGGCAGGTCCTCGGCAGCCCCTCACCACTCCACCTAGACATTGTCATCCACAGAAACAGGAGGGCTGAAAATGCCACAGATGCTGAAATATTAACAGCTTTGGTACTTCACTTCCTGGGAAGACCGAGGGCTCAGAGAGGGCTGAGTGTACAGAGACAGCACAGGGCTTCTAGCCCTGCCAGCCTGCTGAGATGGTGTAGGGACAGACACTGCTGCCCCTGGGGGACCAGGGGCCGTGTCACACCCAGTGGGAGGTAGCCACTTTCTCTGGCGGCCAGCGCCTCTAGCTGAGTCTGCTCTGCTGGTCCCTGCAGGGTGGGCCTGAATCCGGCCCCAGAGGGTCAGCCTGAGCGGTTGAGCTTAGGAGACCTGCTGGCCCCTCTCCTGAGTCCCCTCAGTACAGGGAGTCAGCAGTGGCAGTTGGGTGAGTGGCTTCATAGGGGCTTGAATCCCAGCTCCCCTGCTTCTGTCCACTGAACTGGGACCCTCAAGCCCCATCTGCCTCAGTCTCCTTTTTTTACTGAGCGGAGATGATGACAGTTCCTGCTTCCTATGGTTGTTGGGAGAGGTCTGTGAGTGAGGACTTGGGACTCACAGCGCCCCGCCAGACCCAGAGCCAGCTCAGTGTTAAGCATGTTCATGCTGTTCTCTGAGCCTCTGCTCAGGGCCTCCTGTGCTGCAGATATCATCTTTGCTCCGCCAACACGTGCGTGTCCCATTCAACCGAGGAGAAAACAGTCCCAGAGAGGCTGTCACTTTGCGGAGGTCACACAGAGCCCTGGAGTGCAGGGCCTGTGTCCCCAGCCCCACCCCTGCCCCTCACCGGTGGCCCATGAGAACAGGCAGAGGAGACCCGTCCTCCACGGGATTCACCAGGAGTCCATGTGCTCACGCACTCTCAAACACGACGACCAGGGAGACACGATCGAGCGCTGGTGGCATGACTTCACAACGACCTTGATCAGGGTCGACTCAGCTGAGGAAGGAGGGATGAGAAGGGGCCATGGTTTAAGGGATGAGGCTGAAGGTGGGGAGGGGGGAGGTAAAAGGGGATAGCAGTGATGCTGGCAGGTGGCATCAGTGTGGGGATGGAAGAGGCCTGGTCATTTTCGAGGGATAGCCAGCCCTGCAAGGCCCAGCCTACTCATTCACACATAGCTGTGCTGACCTTGAACTCGGTACTTAACCTTTCTGTCTCCCTTTCCTTGTCTGGAGAGCAGAGATGATGAAACCTGGCTCCCAGACTATCATAAGGCTCAAAACAAGCTCACAAGTGCCGAGAGATCCACCTGAACATCCCTGGCTCACATGCTTCATGGGCATCGGTGGAGTCAAGGACAGGAGAGGGGCTGAAGAAAGGGGGCAAAGGCCGGTGAATGAACCCAGCTCTCGAGGAGGTCGATGGGCAGAACCTAGAGCCCAGGGATTTGGGTCCACCTAGAGCAGGAGGGCTCCGCCTGCTCAGGGATAGAGGGAGAGAGTGGAGTGTGGACAGGTGGTGGGGTGCGGATGCAGTGGGGGGGATGGCATGGAGTGATTCTGGGACATCTGCTTTCTTCAGTGGCAAGCAAGGAGCTGCTTCAGGTGGGCATGGGGACCACCAGGCTGCCTTCTGGGAGTCTTCAGGTAGGTTCTCAGTGGAACCTTCCACACGGCAGCTGGTGGGAGTGGGAGAAGCCAGTAGCTGGACTGGAGTTTGCCGGGCAGCTGTGGCCAAAGATGAGGGGGAAAGGGAGGACAAGCTCCTATGAGTGAGTATTCACCAAGGCCTGTGAGGGGTCAGGGATGGCACCCCAATTGGGAGCTGACAGGCTAAGCCACCAGATTTCAGGGATGGTATGGAAGACAGGTGACTCGGGTCAAAGACGATGGACTGTTATCCTCAGGGAAGCCAGGTCCAGAGCGTCAGCATGGTGCATGCGCCCCGAGTCCCAGCTCCCACGGGATGCTGCCATGGGGCCGCGTCACTGCAGAGAAACTGGGGCCTGCGAGCAAGACTTGTCCTTGCCCCTCAGGGTTACTCTGTGACCAGGGGCCCCAGGTAGGGCCGTCAGGGCCTGGCGCTTGCTCCTGGCGCCCCCTGCAGGACATGTAGGAGAGTTTCCCAGCAAGGTCAATGGAGGGGACCTTGAGTCTTAGGTTCTGGTCTGACCAAGGCATCAGCAGATCTAATAGGAACTGGTGACCGGGAGGAGGTCATTGAGAGAATGGGACCACTGTCGACCCTCAAGCTTGACCCAGGCAATCGGATTGTTGATGAAAATAATTGAGCTATCTAATATAGGAACAGAGAAAAGCCAAACTGTAGCCCGGAAGACTGCCTGTCAGATCACTCAGAGGAACAGCTCCAGAGAAGCAGGGTTTTCAGCACAGTTTTCTGCCTTGTCAGAACAGAGAACATCAAATGAGTCAGGGAAACATTCCTTCAAGGTTTCAAAAAGCAGACCGGCACGTACACGGGGCTTCAGTGTGGCCTTGGCACCTAGGAAGCGAGTCGTATTGTGGAGAGAGTAACCAGCATTGGTGTCCCACAAGGGGAGGTGTTTAATCTTCATTTTTAACATGGGTAGTCTTTACTTCTGGTCAGTGTTCCCTTTAATAGTTAAAGCAGACAGGAATTTCCTGGTGGCTCAGTGATAAAGAACCCGCCTGCTGATGCAGGGGACTCGGGTTTGATCTCTGGTCCAGGAAGATCCCACATGCTGCGGAGCAACTAAGCCCATGCACCATGACTATTGAGCCTGTGCTCTGGAGCCTGGGAACCGCAACTACTGAAGCTCGCACTCTCTAGAGCCTGTGCTCTGCAACAAGAGAAGCCACTGCAATGAGAAGCCTGCGCACCGCAACTAGAGAGTTAGGCCCCGCTCGCCACCGCAAATGGAGAAAAGCCGAGGTGACAGCAAAGACCAGCACAGTCAAAAATAAGTAAAGTTATAAAAACTAATTAAAGCAGACATATGACCTGCCACAGACAGGCTGTTCTAGTTGCCATCAGATTCAAGTTATCTCCTGTATCAGCCAGAACAGCTTCCCCAGACCTTGGTATGTGAGCATTTCCTTCATCAGGAAGCTCCTTGAACATCGGTCTGGCCCGCTGACCCTGAAGCAGGAGCCAGTCCACAGAAGCAGCCTTAAGAGATTGAGGTGCTGGTGAGACCACAGTCACGTAACTGAGCCCCATGAAGGCCTCTGCGTGAACTTTTATGATCTGGCAAGTGGGTGCAG